CTGAATGTATTTGACAGAAAGCAGCTACTGCCCCTCCTTGGTTTAGAGTGCTTCTGGTGTCACTTACGGCCACTTGGGGTTTGCTCATAGAATCATTTGAGTTTTGTGACGCCTCCTATAGCTGGAAGAAGAAGGCTTCATCAACAGGCTCCACTTGATTGGGCAGCCAGTAGCAGACCCTATCCATAAGGCTCCCTTTGTTATTGTCCTTGTTCTAACTCTCACCTGTAACTTTTGATTTGCTCATGGCTATTCTCCAAGGACAGGTCTCCACACTCCACGCCTTTCTTGATAAAGAGGACAATGCTTCCTCCCTTCCTTCATTACCTGTCTCTACTGAACAACTTGTAGCCATCAATAGCCACACTCCAGTCATGGGAATCATCCCACCAGGTTCCAGTGACAGTAACTACATCATGATTTTCTAGTAGTTTTCCAGCTCCTCCTGTTTGTTTCCCAAGCTGTGTGCATTGGTTTAGAGGCACTTCAGCTGGGCAGCTGGTCCTGTTGCCTTCATGGAGGATAATTCCTTAATTCCTTTGAAGTATTTCCCTTGAGTTTCCCTGTTGCCTTTTCCTATTGTCTCAGTGGTCCCTGGCTTGTTAAGATTTCAGCTGTTCTGCAGTGGTGCCAGTACATTTCCAGGCAGCAGGTTGAGGGCCCTACTAGCACTGTGTTCCTCTAACCTAGCTATCCTATCCTATGCTTTATTGCAGGTAGGCTGACTATCATCCCCATGCTCCCTTCAAACCTACTTTAACACCCTGCAAATGAGCCCAGCTAGCTTTTCCCCATAAACTGTCTTGCACCTCTGAGAGAGGTGAACCTCAACTGGTTCCTGCAAGCCTGGTGTCATCTGGGCCATCCCACTGTCAAAATACCCCAAGTTTTTGTGGCAGCACCAGCCAGGAAGCCAGGTTTTATGGATTGGATCGCTGCAGTTCTTTCAATGTCCTTACCCAGTACAGGAAGCAGAGGAGATGATCCATGCCCTCAATTCATTTAGCTGATGTCCCAAGGCCCTGGAGTCCCTTTTGATGGCTTTGAACTGTGTGTAGCTACTTCATTGCTCCCCACATGGAAAAACAGTAGTGCATAATGATCTGTTGGCAGTACCAGGCTAGGGAGTTTCCTGGTGATGTATGTCCTTTACCTGAGCTCCAGAGAGACCCTCTTCTCTAAGAGGGTCTGCCTGAAATATTGAGCATTCAGTTCCCTGCAGGGAGGAGTCACTTACAACTAATACCTGTCTCTTTTTTGAGGATGTAGCCTTGATACTGGGGGAAGGCAGGCTTTTCTAGTTTTGGTTTTGTTGGTTCCTTTAGTGTAGGTGGGCTGTTATCGTTCACAGACAGGCATTCCACCCCCACAGCCTCATACCTATTGTATGAAGGCACCTGGGGGAGCAGAGTGGGCATGGACTTGCTTCCATTCTCTCTTCTCATTTAAGTTCTTGTCTTCAGGCTGGCAGTGAGGGGATACGTGCTGCCACAAATCTTGTGCTTTCTTCTGCAGTAAAACTTTTTTTTTTCTCTGCCCTCAAAACACACTTTAACCTGCGTTTCATCTTGCAGCCCTGCTGTGAGGCTGAGCAGATCATTCACACGCTTGCATCTCACACAACTGTTTTCACCTCTGCCACATGGTGCCAGAGAAAGGCTCAGGTACTCTGTGCAGCTGGAAGCCTGGATGGCTGAATGTTTGCCTCGGAGTTCAGCCTGGGTTTTGACATCCTTTTTGATGAGTGCAGGTAGTCTGTCTCTCTGTCAGGTGGATACCATGACTGGGCTCTCTATTCTCAGTAGGTGCTAATCCTGCACTTAGACCATGAAACCACCTACAGACCTTACCTCTGCAGCCTACAGAGTGCTTGCCCTCCCTGCTCACCCTGCCTGTGTGAACTGATGTGCTGCACCATGCCCTGTTTGTCCATCCTGGGCACCGTGTTCCTGGTTGCTTGTGCTCCTTAAGGGCTGCCTGTGAACATGTGGTTGGATTCCACCATCCTTCCTGGCTCTACCTGTGCTGTATCAGAGCTGCCTCTCTTTGGGGCACTGCACTTCTGACTGGGATTTTAACTGGGATTTGTCTCACTTATTTGAAATACACTCTCAGATGGGCTAGAGAATCCAGTGATGATGTGTCCTGTTGATTTTGTGATAAAACATAATGGCATACTCAGCTCTGGGTTGGATGGCTTACCAGTGGATAGGAGGGACAGGTTTTACCTCAGTTTATTTATCTACAGAGGCATAGCCAGGAGCTGGTGCTAGAACCCAAGCATTCATGCCCATCCTGTGCTGCCAGACTTCTCAGCCACTAAGCCAAAGCTGTGATCATTTAATTACCCATCCTTGTGCCTCATGTTGGATGTATTAAACAATATGCAGGTGAAAAAACTTGTACACCAAATCTCATTGCCAAACCTGGGGCCTCTGGCTCTGTCCACTGCTATGAGACAACTCATCCAAGAAGAACTGTAATTTCTCTCACAAGTGAAGGTTGGGTACTGCTCTTGCCATGCCTTTCTCACCAAATGTGCTGGCATCGTCACTTTCCTCCAAAGTGTGTAAATGGAAGGCTGAACTTGGCCCTTAGGGAAAGGTTAGAGGATGCTCTTCATTACACTGTTATCTCCACCTGTAGTCCTGCTGGCTTTCTTTTTCTCCTTGAAACTTCTGACTGAGAGATGATCTTTTTTATATCTTCCCCTACAAGAAAAATAGAGCAAGGTTCTGCCAGATATTCATTAAAAATTTTGGCCCAATTCTGCTCTTTCTGCACCTGGCTTCTGTTGGTTGCTTGGGTGTCTTGCTGGAATGGGAGAGCGTAGCCCTGGGAGTTCTCCCTGCAAAATGCCTCCTCCAGGAACCTTTGCAGCAGATGTCTTTCAGGTATGATTTCCAGCTCCAGACCTGCTGGTAACAGTGATCTAGTTCCGCTGATTCTTCTTTTCCATTTGTTTCACAGGGGGAGAAAGTGGCAGAACTGATTCTTCACCATGCTCGGGCCAACCAGTGCCAGGATATTGAGCGATTCAAAGCTGAAATGGCAGAACTAGTGACCAAAGTTCGAAGGAACACCATTGCCCTAGGAAAGGCAAGTCCACAAACCATATCCCGCCCTCCTGTAGCTGTACTTCAGTGCAGCTTGGCTTTTAAAGTGGTCCAGGTGGAAAGGCCAGCTGTGATCCCATCAGCACCATGCACTACTTGGAGCTTTTAGTGTCTCAGATGAAGTTAAGTCTCTAAAATCTCTTCCTAATTCCCTCTAACTAAGAATGAAACCATGTGTGTTTAATTCTGTTCTTTAGATCTCTAACATCTGCAGTCCTCTGTGAGGAGTAGTCACTAAACTGTGTGTGATTCTGTGTAAACCTGATGTTACAGCTTGTATCCTTTTGGTAAAGGCCAGCCTGGCACTTCATAGAATGTAGTACAGAGGTATTGAGGAAATTAATGGTTACCGTGTATTGCTGTAAGGTTTGCAGCCTTACTGGGCTGGCAAATAAACACACAGGTCCACAGGTCAGAGCTGAACTCCTTATACTGGGCAGGGTGGAAAAGATCACATCTTGTTGGCCATCTTCAGCCCAGTAGTCTTGTCCCACCACTAGCAGTAAGGGCTAACAACACTTTGAATCCTACCTGTCATGGATGTGGCTCAGTTGTCTTGAACAGGGGTACGCTGAACAGCCGTTAACTTTTCCTTTTGTATTCCAGCTCCAGGTGGCAAATCTCCTCTCCAGTGTCTTTAAATTACTGATGACACATAAGGTGAGGAGCTGTCACAGTCTGCTTTCAACAGCTGGAAGTTCCCTGGGGAGGGAGAAGTACTGGGATTGCAAAGGACTGATGAGGAGGGGGACTGTGACTATAATTTCTTTGTGCCCTGGTGTACCTTCATGCAGTGGTAGCACCTGGCTGGGAACTGTTTGTATACAGGCAGAGCAGGGGGCTGTTTCCTCTCTAGTACCTACAGCTCTTTTGTGGCCCTTCAAAAGGTGAGCTGCTCCTTACCTAACTGTTTGTGTTCAAGCAGGTTGGATACTGCCATGGTTTAAAGGCCCATTAGCAGTAGTGAGTAATCCTAACCTTCTGCTGCTCTAGTATGGAAAATTACACGGAAACGAGAAATAAATTTTTGGGTTGTCTGAGGGTGCTTCCCCTGAAACTATGTTCTTATTTTGTACCTGCTTAAACTCTGCCCCACTTCTCTCCCACTTTGCCAGAGCTCGTACCTGTGTGAAATGAGCTCAGAAGGTCTGCTGTCTCTTGTGCTTCTAGGTGAAGCTCGAGAGCAATTTTGCTTCCATCATCTTTGCCATCATGGTTCTGGAAGGTCTTGGTCGTTCACTGGACCCTGAACTGGACATTCTAGAGGCAGCTAAACCACTGCTCATCAGAACTGCAGCTTCTGTCCTGGAATAGACACTCGTGGCTGCTGCCCTCTCATGGTGCAGGGTTACCTGTGGTACCTGTGAGCTGACAGGAGGAAGCTGAAGGTGAGAGCAGTTCCACGCGTCATGGAGGAATGCCACATGGTGGTAACCCTCCATACTCTGCCTTGAACCCTGTCAGCTAAGCAGCAGGCATGGGATCTTCGTGAGGTCTGAAAAGGTCTGTTTCAGAAGCCTTTCTTTTCCAGGAAGATTTTGCACAGATGGAGAGTTCTGACTCTTACAATTATGTGGTTCTATGAGCTAATATGCTCTGGTAGTTTTTAACTGACATGTCATGTAGCCTGTGTGTAAAAGATCACTGTGGGCTGATGAGGAAACCAGTCTTAATTGTCTAAAAGTCTTTAATAAGATGTTCAGTGATCAAATTTATTTTGAAATGAATTGGGTTAAATATTAATTTGCTGGCTGATCTGTCAATATGGTATAAAAAAATGATGTTCTGATGCCACCTAAGCAAGTAATTCAGGCTGAAAAAAGCCAGTAAGCCTTTTTGTCTTTTGTACTTCTATTTTGATTGTAGAATTGCCCTGAGTTCCTGTTCTTGGTCATTTTGGATGATAAAAACAGACCAGTATATTGATTTTTTTTTTTTTTTAAACTATACTGTACAATCATGTATGTATGGCAGAAAAACTAATTCCATAATAAAAACAACTTTGGGGAATACTTGTACTGGTCTCAGTTTTCGTTGAAGCTTTAAAAAAGGCTTAGGAAGGCTTTCTCCTTGCTGTGCTGTCCTTCCCTGCCTCCCAGCCCTCATCCTATGCAACTCACAGCCTTAACTCATCCATAGAGGTGTGGTTTTTCTCCTTGGGCAGTTTGCAAAACAAGGAGTCCAAATACTTTCCTAAAGGATGGAAAACACTGTGAATGTTTAAATCAAATTTAAGCCAACAAATGAGCTACATCATATAGCTTTTACAGTCCGTTATTTTAATAAAACTCCTAATGTTATTTTATGGCCTTATTTTTATGGTAAGATACGTAGCCTATGAATGATTGGAAATATTGTCATGCTAAATGCATTTCCAGATAGGCTTCATGTGCAATTGCAGCCACACACGGCTCTGTGCAGTTGCCTGTTCTCAGCTGGTTAAGCAATGAAGAGAAAGCACATATGCAGATGATCTGTTTAATGGTGATTATAAAACGATGATTAATGATACATAAATGAAGTCTGAAAAATTAATTTAGAGTTCTGCTCAGTGTATTTCATGCGCTTCCATCATGAAATACTCCATTTTCAAATGTTTGAGGATAAAAAGCAGCAGCAGAGTTTAATGGTAGCTTTCAAACTTTCTGCTTGAGTCTAAGCAGGCTCAGACTCAAAACTAAGTGTGTTATTGTCCTAAATAGTGCATGATTTTGAGTAAATAACTCTGTCTATATTAAAAAAAAGCAGAGCAAGCAACCTCTGAACTTTACACTGAAGATAATCTCCATGTGCTGCCAGCACCCAGTAGTGTGTGTGTGCCCTACTGTGTCTGTACCCAGCGGGTGCCACGCACAGCACTGCAGCCTGGGCTCAATCCCCATCTGTTATGCAGCTCGTAGGCACAACCACTCACACTTGCACCAACAGCAAATATCAGCCAACTTTATCCTGAGGTGAAATAGAGCTTAAACCAAATGGTTTAACAACTTCATTAAAAAAAAAAATAACAAAGTCAAACCTTTACCTTATATTTAGGTTTATCTTTGTTTCCTGCTGCATTTTTTTAAACACATAAACCTCATGCTTATTATGGATCCTGAAGTAACAAATACTCCTTTTAGCTGTGAAGACCTCAGAATAGTTCGTAACCACCTGGATGCCTTAGCCTTCATTCTGTGGGGGAAAGCAAAGCACATACCCCTCAGTTAGCTCTGCTAGAACACAGTCCAAAACTTAATGCTAAGAAATTGTTGGCCGTGCAACAGATTAAGCAGAATTTCAGAAAAGAACTCGCAAAGGGGACTTCTTAACCTTCTTATTTTTAGAAACTACTATAACTGAAAACGTATTCCTGTAACAGGGATGAATTTTTCTAATACCTGTGCTCTTGGCTGAGTGATATTCCAGAAAGCGCGTTACGTGTTTCCAAGCTGCAGCACCTCAGTTTTGTACCCACTTTGGCTCTGGGTGCTACATAAAACAAGGTATCTCATGTATTTTATTCCCATTACTTTATATCTTAGCACACCTTTATGAAAAATAAGAAGTCCCTTCATTGTAGTTCTGGACGTGGTACAGTTTGCTGGGGCACTCATTCTTGTTTCCTAAATACCCATTTGAATTAAATCATTTCACTGCCCAAAGCTGATGATAATGGCATTGTGACACCTGTATTTGACACCTGCATTTTATATGGTGACAACTGTAACTTCCTCATCCCTTTTGTGAATGAAGGCACTGCTACTGATCAGAGCACAATCATTAAACTCGTCTCTCCTTAACGTTGTGTAACAGCATCTCTTGGTGTGCCTTATTTTTTCTGTCCTGGAGAGGGAAAAAGATGGCAGCTTATCCATGGGAGCATCTGACACCACATGCCTCACTATCAGAAGTGAGCAATGCACTTGAACAGGGGCCAACAGGAGCAAGTTACATCTTGGGCTCCAGGTGGTAACTCTGTTTTACCCTGCAGTGGGAATGGGGAAACTTGTGTAATGCTGCTGGCTATCCTGGTTTCTTACACAATTTGTTCACTCATTTTTCAATTTGCCATTTTGTAGCATCCTTCTCACTTATTTGTGGTGTAGCCTATTTATTCTGATCGTGTGCCTTACCTGCACAGATACGCCTATCTTTCTGACATAAGATATCCAGCTTTTGGAGACAAGCAGACCAAAAAATGAGATAATAGCAAAATAGAATCCCTTGCCCACCACTGGGTTTGGTGATTCTCCAAAGACAGGTATTTCAGAAAATTAACATTTTTGTCACTCTAATGCCTAGAAGCTGTGTCTTCTCTTCTACACACACACGCACACACACACTCTAAGTCATTCTTTTTCTAGGGAAGTGACCTACATTTTCTGGAGAATACTGACAGTGGAAGGATCTACACTCACTTGCAGCCCAAGCTGGATGGTTCCAAGCTGCCTTACCAGGTTTTTGGGAGCAGATCTCACATTACTGGATTCCTGCCCTGCCTCCTACAGCAGTTCTGGACCTACAGCAGTTGCTGGACGTAACCCAACTTCATCATATGTATGGACCTCTTTCCTATGGATCTCTGCAAATCAGATGCAGTGGGACACTTGCAAGTGTCAGCTGCAATAATGGAAATAGCAATGGACAACTGATGCTGTATTTCAGCATGTACATTTACGTTGCTGCACTTTTTTTTTTCCCCAACCAACCAGTCTCCAAGTTCTCCTTCCCTGTACGTCATGTAACACTAAGATTGCAAGGTAAGTCACACGACAGCATCACGTGGCTTTACTTACTATTTGATGTTGTCCTTGACCTTTAAGAAACGTGCTCTCCTGGTCCTGTTCTGGAAGAAACACAGAAGGGCAAAAAGTGTCCAGAAGTCAGCAGTGGAAGCCTCTCCACGCTTGTATTTAATTCCCCTGCAAGCTGCTATAGCAGGACATAATCTGTATCTGTGCCTTCTACCACTTGAGAGACTCATTCCCAGGGAGCTCCTTCTGACCTTTGTGTTTTTCACTTAGTAAAGTGTGTGACCTGTGCTCTCACTAGAGAAATTCCTTTCTCTGTCATTTGCATTTTGAAAGCTGTTACAACCCGACATCCCTCTGCCAACTTCCAGCTCTTTCATAGCTCTACTCTGTATTGTCCCATGGCACTGTCATCAGTCCTAAACTACAAAACTAAACAGTACAGATGCTGACTCTGTGGGCTCCTACAAAGCTGGCCCTATTCAGATGCCTTTAGGGCAGGATGGCAGCACTCTAGCTATTAAATACCACCATGGCTTTTGGTTGCAGAGATGAGACTTCAGTGGAGTTGTTGCCTATGCCTAAAACTGAACAACAGTCTGACCAAGATGAGAGCCTATGCCACAGGCAGCTGGACCAGAGCAGTTACTCCAGGAAGAAAGACTGGTAAGGGACAGAGCAGCAAAAACACATGCTGGCTGCAATGGAAGGGAGATACATGATTTCTCCAAGAGTTGTATTTGTCACAACTGCATTCTTGCACCCAAAGTGCAGCACACTCACACATACACACACACTTGTGAACTGATCAAGTGCCTGCTTACCCACTGCAGTTTCCTTACTCTAGTAGTGATGCTCGGAACATCAAAAGATTCTGTTCTCTGAGGTATTGCTGGAGGTCACAGTGTCTTTGTTCTTCTTTTTGCATCTTCTCATGTAAACGATCTCTGTTCTGGAACACTTTCCTTTTGGCAGCCTGGTGATGCTTTTGTTGCCTGTCCTGCTCCTCTAAGTCTTGTGTCAGCACTGCTTGCCGTGACTGCATTCTGTTCCTCAAAAAATCCTACATTAAAAAAAATGACACTTGCAATTGCGCAGCCAGCTTTAAGTCTGAATTTCACCCCCAGTTATCGCTGGAATAATGGCATAATTGATTCATTGATTCATTTCTATTTATTAATGACATAGGGGGTCAGCAAGTCTGTGGATGAAATCAAGCTGATTGGTCAGCTGATACTTCAGAGGGATCTGGATGGGCTCAGAAGGTAGGCTGATGTGCACCTCATGAAGTTCAAGTCCAAATACAAGGTGCTGCACTTGTGTCAGAGCAATCCCATAAGTAGAAACTGAAGGCTGAACAGACTGACAGCAGCTCTACAGAGGACTTGGCAACACCGATGGAATAAAAATTGGACGTGAGCCAGCGCTGCCTGATTGCAGCCTGGAAAGCCAACTGTGTCATGGGCTGCATCAAAAGATGGGTGGCAGCAGGGGGAGGGAGGTGATTGTCCTTATCTACACTGCCCTCGTGAGGCCCAATCTGCAGCACTGCATCCAGGCCTGGGGACAGTGGCACAGGCTGCCCAGAGAAATTGTGGATTCCCCATCTTTAGAAGTAATCAAGGTGGGGTTGGATGGTGCTTCGAGCAACCTGATCTAGTAAGAGACGTCTCTGCCATGGCAGGAAGTTGATCTAGATGATTTTTAAAGGTCCTTTCCAACCAAAACCATTCTATGATAATTCTTTGTATGCAGGAAGGCTACTCCCAGCACAGATACAGATTAAATTCCTATCTTTAATTTTTATACACGTTAAAGAAATAATAATTTTCATGTACATATCTCCAAATGGTACAATTATACTGGATATACAGGAGAGAAAGATAAATATGCAGTGCCACTGCTGGAAATACAGTACATGTAAAACTTCCTTGAAATTTCCCTTACCAGCCTTTCTTTTTCTTGTTTAAAGCTCCGCTCATTGAGTTCTGCAAGAAAATTCTCTCTCTGCAGTCGCTGTGCATGTAGGAACTGCAGCCTCTGACTTAACTTTCTGCTATCCTCCTCTGCCAAGAAGGATTCCTTCTTGCTCCTCTCTGACTGAGCAGCTTGCAGCAGCGCCATGTGCTGCAAAGCTCTGTTTTTGTGCTCCAGCTGTTTCTCCAACCCTTGCAAAGTTCTCTGATACAATTGCTGCCTGTTTACAAAACAAAATTTCAAAAAGTGCATAAGATGTTAAGCAGACATTCTGGCCTCCCCCCCCCCCTTTCTCTGCCTTGGTAGGCCCAGTCTGAAGCACCTCCAGCACGAGAAGGACATGGAGCCACTGGAGCAGGTCCAGAGGAGGACCATGAAGACGTTCAGAGGGCTGAAGCACTTCTCTTATGGAGAAAGTTGAAGGAATTGGACTTATTCAGACTGGAGAAGAAGAGGGTCTCAGGAGACCTCATTGCAGCCTTCCAGTACATGAAGGGAGATTGTAAGCAGGAGTGGACCAATTTTTTTTTTATACAGTCTGATATTGATAGGACAAAGGCATTCCTGAAAGAGGGGAGAGTTAGGTTAGATGGTAGGAAGAAATTTTTACTAAGAGGGTGGTGAAGTGTTGGCACAGCTGCCCAGAGAAACTGCGGTGCCCCATCCCTGGAGGTGCTCAGGGCCAGGTTGGATGGGGCCCTGGGCAGCCTGAACTGCTGGGTGTAGCCCTGCCCATGGCAGGGAATTGGAACTAGATAAGCTTTAAAGTTTTCTCCAGCCTCAACTAATCTATGATTTAAATATGCCAGGCATCTTATGAAGGTTAAACCTGTATCCTAAACAGAGGCAGCAAACTCCCTAAATGGGCTGGTGCCTGATGTTATCAGCTAACTGCAGTCACATTCACATGAATGCACAACCTGGTAGGGATGTGCGCTCTTGGCCCTGAAGACCAGGAGTGAAGGAAACAGGCTGTAGGGACCAAACTGTAGGGAAAAGCCAGGCAGCTAGGTAGCTTTATGTATTGCTGGTGGTACTGCAGGAGCAACAAAAGAAATGGAAAGAAATAGGCCGTGGGGGCAAGGACCTGCTAAGCGTAAGGGCAGGGGGTAGAGGAGGCAAAAGGACTCCAGCTCTGAGGATGAGACCAAAGGGAATTTGCCCTCAAGGTAATGCTAAAGGCTACAGCTGGTTTGCACCTACTCACTCATGCACCAATTCATTCCCACTAATGAATCTCCCTGAGCACTCTGCAGGGACTAGCATAACATGCCATGTTCGGAGACTGAATGAGAATGCAAGGAGTGAGCATTGTCAACCATTTGATATTTATTTCCAAAAAAAACAAAACCAGTTGGCTCTGGTTTATTACCTCTGGTTGTTCCTGCGCAGCTGACGTCGGACAGCATCTGCCTCTTGCTGCTGCTGCCTCTTCAACTGCCTCTCTTCCTCTTGGTGCCTTTTGTGCTCAATCTTGGCCTTGTTGAGGTCCATCTCTTCCCATCTCTCCTGAAATGCACTGTTACGCACAGATTTCTAAGAAAAAAAAATGTATTACAGATTCCTTATCAGATATTGTTAGAAAGAGAAATATCTGCCTCCCTCTGAGCAAACACAAATCCTCCTGCAGCTCTAACTCTCTGTTGCCCAATATTTCTGCCCATAGTCAAGAAGTCTTGCTGTTTTCTTTAGTAGTATCCACATTTCTGGGCAGTGTTCCTAATTTGAATTTTGAAATACACTGTGCTGTGTGAAGGAACACTCACAAGGCTTCTCTTCACAGATACAGTGCAATATTTACTTCTGTTATCCTTATAATGCCCTACCTGACGTAAACAGCAAGGAGACCATCAAAACTCAAACGTGCTCTAATTTACATTTCTACGTGCAATGCTACAATGTGATGGAAAGTACAGCAATAATAACAGAGTGGGCAGGGATCTCCAGCAAGATCCCCTTACCTCCACTGCCAACCTTTACATGAGGTCTGGGAAGTGGTAGATCCTGGCTCCAGCCCTTCTGCTCACTCAGGTACATTACATGCACCTGAGCTCCCCTGGGTTGGCCCTGCCTTCCCACCGCTGTCTCAAGCCATGACTTAGCAGTTCTGCTCCTACACCATGGCTGCTAAAAGCTAAAATAAAGTTTAGACGAAATACTTACTCTCTCAAATGCTTTCTCCCTTGTACTCCCAGCAGCAATTGGCATGTTCCTGCCATTAGCCACTCTTCTGCAAACCAAACGTTCTCTGGAAAGAACTGGAGGGAGATATCTCTAATACCATGAGCTGGGAAATGCCACAAGACCTTCAAATCATGTCCACTGCCTCCCTATTATTACTGTCCCTGCCAGTCTCATTGTTATTATAGGAGAGGCTCTCAGAAATGCTGAGCACTAATAGCAGAAGAGCCCAGTTCCTGTACACCACTGAATGGAAACCTTACCCTTCCACTTACGCATAAACATTATTCTACATGTGCATGTTTTTTGTTGCAGCAAAAATCTTTGGGAAAGAGATCAAATGGGAGTATAATCTCACTTGACATAAACAAATCACCCAGTCCTAATAGCTAAAAGCTACTGGATCAAATACTTACTGAAATGCTTCTGTCTTTTAGAAGACTTAGATTTGTGAATCTCCCAGCTTGTGAACTGGAGGTGCTGCGTGGTCTCTGTACATGCAGGGCTGATTCAATGGCCAGGCTGTCTTTCTTTAGTGACTGATGCACTTGGTCAAAGAAGCTCTGTCGCTGGAAAGGACACAAGGCACTGGCTCCTTTGGGAGAAGTGCTCCTTTGGGAAGGTTGAACTGGAGCATCTGCCACTCTGAACTCAAAAAGACCTTTTAAATAAATTAAGCAGGGACACAGCAAGTAGGCAGCTTATAAAAAGAAAGAAGATTTTAAAAGTCTTTTCACACGAGATATGTTCAAGCAAGACTTTTATAACAAGTATTTTTTTTTCTCTGACAAAATGAGATGTTTCTTAGTCTCCATAGAACAGGTCCCAGTGCTCCAAAAAACAAGCTTGCCATTGCAGTCAAGCATGTTTTTTACAGGATCACTTTAATACAAGATAATTGACTACACTTACAGCTACTCAGCTTAAGGGTTTATTTACGTGTTACTTTGTGGACAGGCACGAGATTCTTCTGCCAGTGCTCTGAAATAGCCAAAAATGATAAATATCTTGATAGTGCAAAGCCTCAGCTATGAATCCTACTGAGAGACAGGAGAAATCAGCATGTGCACAACACTGCTAGCACAGTTCCCTAGCTTTTGGGTAACTGAGAACATGGGCAGAGTTTGCTTGAATCTTCCTGATAAAGACAGTGTAGATTGAGAGAGCAGTTACTGCATGGAACAATGCAGGAACATCAGCTGGGGGGAAATACACCCTTATGTTTGACTGCATTCTCCCTCCACCAGCACTGCAACTGAGCACTGCAAAAGCCGTAGTACTTGGAAAAAGCTCTAAGCCTTCAGAAACCTTAGTGAAATGCTTGCACTTATCCCAAAAGTAGCTTAAATGAGAACAGTACCAACTCGATTGAAATCACGATCCAAAACCTTTTGGATGATAAGGGAACAACAGTGACATTGCAAAGCAAAAGTTTTCAGCACAAATAAGAAAAGGGGTGCTTCCTGTAGAATGACTCTGGTGAAATCATTTTGCTACGTCCAGTCATAGCTAACACTACAGATGACTTTTTAAAGCGAGGAATTTTTTTGAATTAATAATATTTGTAGTAAGTGTTACAATAAAAGTTAAGAAAACCCCAAAGCTGCTACTGTAATAGCTTTAAAGGCAAAAAAAAAAAATGAAAATCAAACCCAAATCACTCCAACTTCCATCTGGAAATAGTTTCACCCTGAGAAAAAAAAAGCACATCTCAAGCCAAACTACATTATATCTAGGGTGGCACTAACATTTTTGTTTGACACACTGGGAACTACGGCAGTAGAACACTGTGGCCCTCCACAACGATTCTGTGTGGAAAGCCTTATGCCTGGATAAAATAGCTACAATTTCACTACCATGTTTATGTTTAAAATGAGCCTCTGTTCCAGCATCCTGCTGCCTGCTGCCTGCTTCTTCCTTGTGGACTGACTCCATCAAGCAACTGTCTGTGTTGACAGCAGTATCAACCATTGTAGCATGAGCCATCTCCCTCTGAGGACTCTAGAAATACGAAGAAATGCAATCATAATCTGACCTGATGAGGAATAAGATAGCTTTGTGAACTTAGAGTGACAGATCTTATGTTGCAACTGAAGTTTGGGAAGAATTAAAACAAGTGGGGTAGAGTTCTTCACTAAAGAAACAAAGAACCCTTAAATAGATAAATTTCTCATCATGTTTCTGTTTTCCCCACATCTTCAAACGACCTAGAAAGTGGCCTGGAATTGTCTGGAGGAGCACAAAAAAGATCAGGCCAGAGAAGCTCTGACTGGAAGGCAGCTGCATTCCAGCTCTCACAGAGCAATGGGGCAAAGCTTGGCAGCAGTTGGTGCACATCAGCCTCCTCCTTCCTGATCCCCACCCAGTGCTCTGTTCACAGGCACCAAATCAGCCACTAACATCACAAAATTCACTTTTGGTCTCTGATTCACAGAAGTGATACCTGCACCCTGGGCGATGAAATCTTTTCATATAATTATGCCAAGGACTGCCCTGGTATGGAGGAATCCTTACTATAATCCTTATCTGGTATGAAGTTTTTCATCTGACATTTTTTTGTGCCTTTTTCACACAAAGGCAGAATGTGGAAGAACTGGGCTAGACACCACACATCCAGTGACAAAGAACAGCAGCTTTTAGCTCCTTCCCAGGTCAAAGGAGTAGGAATACAACTACAAATAAAGTCAGTCTCCATTCTTTAGGAGGCATACATAAGGGCCACATCCAAAGCCATTAGTAATTTTCTGATACCAAAAACAGAAAATGTAAGCTAACAAAAAAGAAATCATGCAGATAGCAGACTACGTGTTAAGAGATGGTATGAAATACCATTTACCTTCTTAGGGCCTAAAACCTCACTGTCCTCTTCCAAGCAAGACTGAGCATCTTTTGGAAGATTTTCTGTCATCAAGCTCTTCTCTTCATTTTCCTCTTCCTCTTTGGAAACACCTCCTGAAGGGGAAATCCTCACTTCAGACAGCTGCTCTTCTATTTTCTTGCTGAGCTCTTCTTTACTCAAGGGTGCTCCTGGGATGACGAAATTTTCTTGCTGCACTTCGTGCTCTGTAGGCTGTGGGCTTTTGCAGGCTGCAAGGCAGCAGTGGGGAACTAAGGCACACCTACAGCTGCACTTAGTGCATGGCTGAACTGAACACAGCCGCCATGGCCAGCAGTCCAGCCCTGCGTGGCCCCGTCTGTAACAGCCTGAAGCTCTGTAACCTGGTGCCACAATGTATGGGTAGTCCAAGCTTGACTCCACCACCATCTGCCTGGCTGCCAATGGCATCTGCAGTTCTAGGATGATGCGCTCGCTTAAGGGCAGAGGAATCCACAGAGCTTGGTCAGAAGATACCTCCTTAGTTTGCCCATTCCAGAAATTTACAAGCACTCCTTTTCTATTGTGTGCTGAGCACATTAAAAAAAGAAAAAGAAAGAAAAGACAAAGAACATATTAGAAACATCAACCTGCGTGACGTCTCTCTCAGAGACCAGATGATCAAAATGACTGCTTGTGTTACACACAATTTTGTTACAACTTCTATGAGTTTTTTACTTAGAGGTTTAGAATTCAACCTTTTGAATTTCCTATGATACACAACAGCAAAACTCCCTCTAGTCACAGTGAGCCAGGAGCTTACTCCATAAAAGCTGGAAACCAGACTAATAGCTTATTAGGTGAAACTCATAAGGGCCAGGAATATTTTTCTCCTTGTGTTGGCAGGTCCCCCCTCTCCCAGCAAAAACCCTCAGTTTAGGTTTCCATTCACAGAAGAAAGCAAAGGTTGGTGCTGGGAGCTGAAAAAGTTTGCCACTGAGAAAAAATACCCACAAACCAACCAGGAAGAGAAACCAAGAAGCAGTTGGAGAATTTTTCACAGTCGAGACTGTTCCATCTTTTCTACATAGCGGCCATCAACTGTGGCAAGACTAGAGCTAGAAAGGAAGGCAGTCCCCCATACCTAAAGGTGTCTCCTTGTTCTCCATAACCTTGAGCACAGTGCCCGGGCCAAAGCGTTCAGTGTGAGCCTCCCATGGGGCCAAGACTCTGTCTCCTGGAGCAAGGCACCGCTGCGAGGCACCTTCGTAGTGCAGAATGTCGTAGAGAGGTGTTTCCTGCATACGAAGCTGCACCTTGCCTTTCAGTGGGCAACTTTTGTCAAATTCAATTAAAAAACATCCCCTGGAGCCCTACAAGAGTAAAACATGCAGTTTGCAAGACAGACGTCTGGGTCCAATTAACGGCCAAACACAAGTGCTAAAAGGAAAATGGCAGAAATCCCAGGAAGCAGAATGTGATCTGTGAATGTAGTTGTCCTCTACCACCAGGTTTTTCACCATACTGTATCCATATGGGATTTTAAAAGTAATTAAAAAACTGTGGCTTAAGGGGCTTAACAGCCTTTCCCTTCCTTTCTTTTGGGACTTAGATTTTAGTAGGTTAACCTGGCTCAGAAGAACACAGTTGGCACTCTGAGAAAGAAGCTCACCAGGAAAATCATCCATCAGAAGAGCAGCCAAAATGAAGTACTAGGTATGATGCAGCTAGAGACAAGCAAAGCAAAAGGATAAAAGATGAGGGAAGTGTCACAGCTACCATGAATTTGAATGCCTTCACTTAAGCTTCCAGCAATGGGTGTGGGGCAGATTCTACTGCCAAAATCTCAGCCTTCTCTGCAGATCTGGGTGCATTTACATGCTGATGGCCAACAGCTATTCCACCCCTCTACTAGGATCACAATGTATTTAACTAAACTGTGAACTGGAAAAACGAATTGGATTTTTAAAGAAAGACTGCAGGGGACATTTTCTATCTGGTATCCTAAATCATGTCACAGAAACACAGAAGGAAGAGATCGATGAAAGCCCTCAGTTCAGTCAGGAGAAAGCAGCTTCTGGAGGTGGGTGTTTTGAATTACTATTACTAGCAGACAATTGGGAAATGAAGGACTTGTTTGGTTTGACTGTTTCATAACCAAGGAAATTGATGGATTTCCAGACTGCTTCTGCTTGCAGAACTCTTCCCAGTAAATATCCCATCATCATCAGAAAAAAAGGAAAAAAAAAAAGATGAAAATAAGATACGGAGAGAGAACTGTGCTGTATCACAGGAGAGCAACTCTGCACCAGGGCTGTGGGACTGGCAAGCCATGGCAAGGGCAAGAAAAAAGACTCACTGAACAATAAATAACTACCTTCACTTGTCGTGCGATGTGGCCCAGGTAGTAATAACCATCAGCTTTCCTCCTTGCCAGCACACGAGCCCCCCTTATAAAACTGGAAGCCTCTGGGGATGAGTGAATGAAGTTCCATCTTGCTGAGGATATCAAGGACGTACAAATGGAGTCTGGGTTCCATGCACAAACAGGAAGGCTGTAGAAAGCAAATACCAGGAGACTCCAGTAACAGTACTTCTGCAGCTTGCTGTAATGAAAACAAACCAAACCCACATGGGATCTCTCCAGCCCCCGTCCCTCATAGCTGCCTTTGTTTCCTAGCTTTTTTCCTTCTCTGCATGTGACTCATTGACAGCTTTTGAACTTACTGTGTTAATGGACATCCTGGCAGCACAGAGCCACAGAGAGCTTTACTGGCTGTGTGACAACACGGGACACAGGAGGTGTGCATGGAGATTATCTGGAGGTGGGAAGAAGACGGAAGCACAATATGAGCAACACGAGGCTTTTGAACACTTAAATCTTTAAGCAGCAATGTTATTTATAAAATGGAAATTGCTTTCCAGTGTGGTACTTCACTCTGATTTAAATATCACATCATTTCTTTTGCTACACAATGCTGTTTAGCTGTACTCTCATCACAAACAGTCTTGATCTTAAGTAGCGGAGCTATGTGGCTTGGGGAGGAGGATGGCATGTGAAATGTTTGAGAATGATGACAAAGGTAACAAAGTGCCAGGGACAACGAGAGGAGTGAAAGACAAAATAGAAGGAAGTAGGGAAGTTGTGAGGACAACCAAACTACGAGCTCCGTATTACAGCATTCAGTTTTTGTGAAAAAGAAATGAAACAAAATGTAACAAACTTATATTGCATTAATCAAATGTTCAATAAAAACAGCAGTTCAGTAGTTTGCCACTATTCCCTGTGAAGCGTTGCTGAAATTAAATTGTCTGTAACAAAACTGAGGAGCAGGGAAGTTAAAATCCCAGTAACTACATGTACCTTAAATCTTTGTGAGGATGGACATGTAAACTCATGTTACGTCAGTGGAGGACTGTTAGATGCAGCAGCTTGGGATGTTAGAAATTTAGAGCTCATTTAGAAAAATATTATCCATATATTATCTATATATTTAATTAAAAGATGGTATTTTGCCACTCTGCCTATAGGTAAAACCACATCAAAGTCTATGAATGAGAGGTAGGCAAAGCTGTCAAGTCACCCAGAAAAGAAAGCATACAACCAAGGCCTGGCACCTGTGCTTTCCTCTGGCACCTCCAGCTGCCAGTGACAACTCCTTGCATGTGCTGGTTGGCAGAGTTCCCTGGAGCCACGTGATGGCCCTGCAGAAGCAAGTATTGCTAGGCCAAATTAAACCTGGATTTGACCCCAAGTGTCTGTGACAATGCCTTTTGCTTAGAAGCTATGGGGAATGTTCCCTTTCCTCTCAGACAAAGACTTCAGGTACAAGTAGTGTACAATTAGAAGGTTGGCTATGCCAACATGTTGCCTTAGGCCACCACAGAGATGCCAGATTTACTTAGTTTATAAATTACCAGGCAAAATAAGGCCACTGGAGCTCTCCTCCAGCTCTGATGGATGAAATGCCATCCAATAAAGGTTCAGGAGGGATAACCAGTATGCACTGTACCTTTGCAGGAGCAGCAGGGGGGGCTTTGATCGCTTGAGAGGACCCCCCACTTTGTCTGGCAACTTCCTCCATGACTTGTTGCTTGCCTCCTTCACAGGCAGAGTCTCCCAGTGAGCACTCTGTGGATACTGGACACACCTGTTGTCCACAAGAAGTTGATTTCCTCCTGTTCTGCAAGTACATCAGTGAATAGCTACACAGACTGGTGGGCTGTGGCTCTAAACACTGCAGATAAGCCATATCTGCTCAGGGTAATGTAGGTATACAAGGAATCCATTCTGCAGAAGTTCCTTAGGCAACATTAGGAGTTGGCAACACTGTGGAGCTGGATATGCTGACTCACAGAAACAGCAAGGAAGGTGGAGTGAAGACACTGAGGCCAGGCTCTATGATACCATGATCAGGATGGGAACTTGATGTTAATATGGAACTAATAAGCCTCACTTTTGCCACCCTGAGCCAGCAGCGTGCCATTCTTTGACAAAACACCATCCTCTGGGTGAACTTTGTTCATTGTACCCTCATTATGAAACCAAACCATGCCTCCACCCTAAAAGCAACCTGCCTCCAAGGTGCAACCACCTCTCACTGAGCTCATGCTCCGAATTTCTCTGTAACTTTAAAAGCGAGGCAAGAGAATTTTACAGCATTCATAAACAAAGGCACGTATAACTGGAGTCATTTAAACTCCACGTGAAAAATAAAGGAATAGTAGTACAGAAACGGCTTAAGAGAGGGAGGGCACGGTTGCATAGGTCTGGGATCAGCTGATGGGCTGAGGGTTCTCTTCCTTCCACAAGGACTCGTGATGGCACTTCACCAGGAAACTCAGAAATCTCTGTAGAGTTGCTTTTACAACTTCACGTGAAAGTGCTCACCTGGGCGAGACGTGAATTCCTTGACAGGGCATTTCCGTACTTGGCCAGGTCACAGCAAGGAACTCCCTGCAGCCGAGGCGGGACTCAGCAGCACAGCAGAAGCCCTGCCGCTCACCTCCGCACTGCACAGCGCTGCTGCCTCTGTCCGCACACCTCGCTGCGCCGTGCCAGGAGCGCCCCAGGCCGCCTAGCAGGCGGGAAGCCCCGCAAGATGCAGCTGAGGGCCGCCGGGACAGCGGCCGGCCCGCACCCGGGCAGACCCGCACCGGAGCGTCCGCTCCCCGTTGCTGCGCGACCAGACGCCGTGGGCTGCACCAACTGCGTCGCCTGGAGGGGGAAAGGAGCGAGCTTTTTCTTCACCTCCCTTCTCAAACCGCTCCTCCTCGGGTGAAAGGCTCGCTGCAGAGCCCGGAAGGTCCCTTCGCTCCTTCCCACGTATCCCCTGTGGGAGATGCCAGCTCTGCACAGCCGACTGCCGCACCCGTGAGCGAGACGCCACCACTGGGCACGAGGCGGATCGGACGGATCGGGACGGCCGTCGCGTGGTGGGGCGCAACGGAGCATTCGGGGAGGCCGTCGCTCGGTAAGGAGAAGCAGGCCAATCGGAGAGGCCGTTGTTGGTAAAGGCGGAGCGGACCGATCAGGGAGGTTGCCGGGCCGTCGGCTTGTGACATTGGGGAGCCGCCATGCTGGCGTCGCTGGGGCGTTCGGCGGGACGGCTGCTGCGGGCCGGCGGCGGCGCGGCCGGGAGGCGGCAGTGAGTGGGGCGGAACGGGGAGAACGGGGGCGGCGGGGCCGGGGCGAGGACGGCTGAGCCGGGAGTGAGGCGGCGGCTGCGCGTTTGTTGCAGTGCGGGCGGCGACGTGCACATCGAGCCGCGATACCGGCAGTTCCCGGAGCTGACGCGGTTGCAGGTGGTGCGGAGCGAGCTGCTGAGCGGCTTCATGTGGTTCTGGATCCTGTGGCACTTCTGGCACAGCTCGGACAGCGTGCTGGTGAGGCCCGGCGTAGCGGCGGGGGGCGGTGGGGCCGTGGCGCCGTGCCCGGGGCGGGATCTGAGGGCGTGTGGTGGCGCAGGGCCATTTCCCGTACCCCGACTCCTCGGCCTGGACGAACGAGGAGCTCGGCATCCCGCCCGACGACGCCGAGTAGGCACCGCAGCCGCAGAGGTGAAGGTAGGGGCGGGTTTTGCGCTCTCGCCGTCTCTCCCGGGGTGCCGTGTTGAGCGGCTGCAGCTGAAGGCGGCAGGGCGGTGTTGGGGTCTGCCCTGCCCTCAGCTGAGGGAGGGACTGGCCGGAACTTTCTTGGGAGTCAATTCGGTTGCTTGCAGGTCTGTGGAACTGAAGAAGCACTGGAATTGATGCTTTGCTCTGCTGTCCCGGTCTCAATAAAGTGAGCTGTTGACAAATGCTGAGCTGTGGTGTTGTTGAGTGCCGTAAATGTCACATTCCTTCTCTTGGAGAGTTCTAGAATTGGGGTGTTTGAGTCCAAATGAGCCTATTTAATCCTTGTGAAGCGTTTAAAGTGCGCCCCTCTCACTGAGGTGATACATCCTTGTTCGGGCAGTGACTTACAGAGCACATGAATGGGTGGTAGGGAAGGACTTAACCGCTGAGTGGCTGCCAGCCACTAGGAGGGGCAGCAAAATTTGACTCTTTAAATCAGTTTTTCTACAGTTCTAAAAGATTTCTTACTGAAATTTTGTCATAAAAAACGGCCTTGAGGCTTAGAGCAGCAGTTGCTGCAGGAGCAGGTGCAGCTGCCTGAGGGAGAGGGGAAGGTGTGCCCAGATCTCCTTAGGTTGAGAGGGAATCTCCTTCAGGTAGCAGAAATCCATCACTAATGCTGGGAAGTAAGTGTGCTGAACACAGCATTCGAGGAATCATAGAACCATAGAATGGCCTGGATTGAAAAGGACCACAAGGATCATCGAGTTTCAACTCCCTGCTCTGTGCAGGGTCACCAACCAGCAGACCAGGCTGCCCAGAGCCACATCCAGCCTGGCTTTGAATGCCTCCAGGGATGGGGCATCCACAGCCTCCTTGGGCAACCTGTTCCAGTGCATCACCACTCTCTACGTGAAAAACTTCCTTCTAATACCTGACCTAAACCTCGCCTGTCTCAGTTTAAAATCATTCCCCCTTGTCCTATCACTATCAACCCATGTAAACAGCCCCTCCTGTTTATAAGCTCCCTTTGAGTACTGGAAAGTCACAATGAGGTCTCCTTGGAGCCTTCTCTTCTCCAAGCTAAACAAGCCCAGTTCCCTCAACCTTTCCTCATAGGAGAGCTGCTCCAGCCCTCTGATCATCTCAGTGGCCCTCCTGCATAAGGAAGACAGATGGAGGTGGGTTACTCTCTAGGTCCAGTCTTATGTTCCAAACTAACCATACAGAAATAAACTTCTATTAAATTACTTGTGGAACGCCGTGAAGAGAGTGACTTGGGAATGATCCGATAAACAATCTCCTTCAGACTTTTCCATGCAGTCAATCTTTATTATAGCAGTATTCTCATATTCACATCAAGTACATAGAACTTTTTGCCTTTTATATAATACAGAGTTCTTTAAATAACTTTACACAGAAATAGTTTTCTTTAATCTGAATTCAGCTATCAAATTTTAATATGTTTTAAGTCTCCATGCTCTCTAACCAAACTGGACAATATTTCCCATTGTACAAATTTACATGAGAAAAAACTCCAAAATACAAATGAAGGGACAACAAAAGTAAAGGGGAAGGGAACAAACAAGAAAAATAAGTTGTATTGGCAATTACAGGGGAGACTCGAGAGGGAAAGAAGGGGGGTTGCCATGACCTTCTACGTAACAGAAAACTGAAAATAAACATTTTGTTATGAATTAGAAAATAAATACAAGTTTCCAAACAATTACTCCATTGTAAGATTTTTGAAAAGCAGCCATGGAAATCTACTGACACAATTGCTTTTTTTTAAGTAACTGGACTGGACCTTTTATTTTGTCGTCGTAAGCCCCTCACAAACCTCTGGTGGTCAACAAAACACAGCAGAGAGGAATGTTGTGTTAGCACAGTTCAAATGGGTGGGACGTACGTTTCATTGCACTAAGAAACCAAGAAATCAAATCTGTATATGAATTTCCCTTTCCTCTCCTTACTAGTTTGCCTCCCATAAACAAGCCTCTGTATTATGAGGTAATGCCAATGTCTTGACTGTGTATAAAAATAATCAAGTTTAAAGGATATAGATCTCTGTATCTATAAACTTTAAACGTGCCAGTCCTTTCTTACTTCCCCACAGGGTCCAACGACCGAGTGCAGCACCTTCCATCCCCGTTTAACAAAAGTATGCAGTAAGCCTCCTGCAGAACCCCAAGCGAGACTGCTGCCCCTTTCCTAACCTAGGAAGAGCAGCACACGCTCAAGTAAGAAAGAGACAGGGCAACCAGTGCGCGACTGGTTACAGGCAGGTATACCTGCTCCTTCAAAACAAGGCAGAGTCATGGAAGGCAACAGCGGCCAGTCTGCACGTGTGTTTTGACAGAGGGAAATGGATCCAATGAGGCAGCTGATGACTTTTTGCAGGTGCTAAAGTGTCATCTGTCCAGCCCTGAGAGGCCGCCAGGAGAGCTGTGGCAGGGTGGGCAGTCATGGGCAAAGGGCTGGCAGGGGAACCCCAAAGGAGCTGGGGGGACTGCGGAGCAGACGGGCCGGCTCCCTTACCTGAACACTTGCAGACCTGCTCTAGCAGCACGGGCTCCCAGAGGAGTCTCAAGGGTGGCAAGCAGCAGGGAGCAGGACTTTTCCCCAGTCCCAGCAGCTGAGATGGGAAGAAACACAGCAGTGTGATTTGGGTTGCCAACGCATGCGAGTTGGCTGCTGCTGGGTATCTGTCAGTTGAGAAGGGTGGAGTGGGGAAGGAAGAGGAGACAAGTAGGACACAAGGCTCACAAAGGAATGATGTGCATTTTTGTTTTCTTTTTTCTTTTTTTTTTTTTTTTTATCCCTAAAGGTTCACAGCTTTGAATAAAAAAGCACATTTATTGCACTTACATTTTATTTTAGACAGAGTTAATTTAATTTAAATTATGCCCTCACAATCCCCCACCATCCCAAAATAACCCAACACCCCCCAGTTTGGTCCATTTTGCACCCCATACCCAACATTTGTGCCCAGACAGTGGGCTTCGTTTCTTCTGTTCCGTTAAGCTCAAACAGATTTTCTTTTCAACTACGGTGATTACACAAATGCAACACAGAATGACATTCAGCAAAACAAAAGTTAACCATTTTCCAAACCCAAACGAAAAAGAACGCGATCCTTTGCTTTTCCGTGATACTGCAAAGGCGATGTCACACAAGGCTTATTCTGAAGTACAGCTGCTGCAAATGCCATAAGCTGGACAAAAGGACTGGACAGGCCTCGGCTGGCTCTTAAAGGGACTGGAGGAGCTGAGCACACTGCTGCTCTCTAAAGCAAACACCTAGGCAGTTCAGAAGTTCTGAACACTCCCATCATTTCCCTTCTGGTGGAAAAAATAGGGAAGTAACTTCCTTGTGATTTTGTATTAAAAAGGACAAAACACTGTCTCTGTATGTATACTTTTAGTGCAGAACGTGGGGTCAGTAAAAGAATTTCAGACAGTTTCTGCAGTGTTAGTAAAACGTTTTTTAAAATTATGCTTATTTCTAAAGGGAACAAAGAACAAGTTAAAATCAGCCTGGGATTTGTACGGGCTGTGCATTCAGACATAACTCTGCCACTTACAGTTAGGCCCAAAGTCTCACACCAAAAAAAACAAAAGGAAAAGATCTGCAAAAGAAAAAGCACTAACAGCAAAATCCATTCTTTCATCCTCATGGACAAACAGGTCAAACAGGACACCAGTATGTAGGTACTGCCAGAAGCCTCGGTGAGCAGCAGGCCGCAATCTGAACAGCTCAGACGCAGACACACCGGCCGTCCCTCAGCAGACAAGGTACCTATCCTCTCCCAGCATCAATGCACAATGACACTTGGCGTTGTGAAACTGCAAGAGGCTTGAGGAAGAGCTAAGGAAGCCTGCTGCTATTCCATAAAACAAAATTAATTGCACTTTCAGGGCAAGGGAATTCACTGTATTTCATTACATGAGTACTAGCCATCAATTACTCCTAATTTAGTTCTCATTTTCACC